CACGTATCCCGTTACTCATCTAACTACAGGCAGAATAGTTACATTATGCGTGCAAGCAGACACTTTAACAATGTTTGTAAGGAATATGACTTCGATCCGTGTACAACTAGTGTGAACTCGGCAAAGAGGTGCTTAAGCCTCAAATTTTTTTATAAGCAGCACTAGATATTTAGTTTTTTTTTATCGTTTCTCTTGATCTGTTTAATCATATAGTGTCTGTACGGTCTGTTTCAATATTTATTTTTTTATTTACGCAGAATGTATGTATTTTTAATTTTGTATAGTACTCACACCATATTATTTAATTTATTCCAAATGCTAAACGTGAGGACTTGTTATTGGCTCATTGTTACCTACGCCTATTGTTATTTTTATCCATTTTTATAAGCTGTTAGTCCTCCATGAATTATAAATAAATAAAAAAACTTTCATTATCCAAATTATTATATATCTGTAACATACCCAAAATTCGATTCTGATGCAACATTGTCCTAACTCGGGAGACTAACACATGGACAGTTTAACAAAATGAATAGTTTAAGAACTTGAGGTCTGTATCAGAATACAGCATACTCTATGGTCATCGGTATTCACAAAGCGATAAACAATATTCCCTTAGTGTCAAGTTCACCCCTTATTGAACCTCAAAAATAAATACTACCACTATAATTCGTTTGAGCATCAACAGTAACTGTTTTAAGTCCTATATATCTGATTCGAAATTACATCAATTTTTTAGTGGAACCCTACTAAAAATTGATGTAATCACCCCTCATGTCAAATTATCAATCTTTTCAGTTCTTAAATCAGTTCTGTCGTATCTATTTCTTAAATTAAATTAAGTTGTTCCGTAAAACTGTGTTCAAGGAACACTGGAATATTTATAATATTTACCTCTTAACCTGTTCCTCCTACATTTTACTCCTACATAAACATACATACAGTTGTATATTAGGCAGGAAATACTGCCTAAGTCTCTGAACAGTGTCCCACTGACTACCGATTTTATAGGCTACCTAAATCAAACTGTCAAGCATTAACCATTTACTTGAACATCTACTCTGTATTCTGCTATATTTATCATTTATGTCATAATGTACAGATACTTTTAGGAGACTTCTCTTATAATCATTGTACTATTGGTAACAATTTTATTAGAAACATTATCATTATCAAATTTGTTTTTTTTTTATGAATTTGAGTTATGCCCTAAAAAGTTGCATTCAGAATATTTTTTTAATTGGCTTATGACATTATAGCTTTATATGACAATTTTTTGTTTTTTTATTTTTTTTTTTACATTTAATACACATTGCATTCCCCTTGTTTGAAGTCTCCCTGATTGATTTTTATTAATTTTATCAATGGTTATGGATGTAGGGCTGGTCCAGGTTGAAGAACTTTGCAAATATCTATTATTACTAGTCCTTCTATTTCCTACTACACTGTACTCACTAAAGTGAGATTTAAACACTTTCTTAAAAAAAAATCCCTAGTTTCATCTGGTTTGTCAATTTTTTTTTTTTATAAAATATACACAAAAACAGGTAAACAACCATCAACAGCATTCAAATCTAACTGAACAATTGGTTTCATGTGTCTAATTGTTTTAACACAAACATAAATAAAGTACATAAGAACTATTTCTATTATTTCACTATGCTGTCTCATTAATATATAAAATTATTAATCACATCACCTATAATCTCAAAGTAGCTTGGCAAAGGATAGCTTCTCTATTCTTCCACTACCCAATTGACAAGGTTTGCCATACATAACTCTCATGCTCAGCTCTTCGCTGCTGAAGCACATGAGTCATGCAGACACTATCGCTATAATAATCTAAATGTAGCTTGACAAAGGATAGCTTCTCTATTCTTCCACTACCCAATTGACAAGGTTTGCCATACATAACTCTCATGCTCAGCTCTTCGCTGCTGAAGCTCATGAGTCATGCAGACACTATCGCTATAATAATCTAAATGTAGCTTGACAAAGGATAGCTTCTCTATTCTTCCACTACCCAATTGACAAGGTTTGCCATACATAACTCTCATGCTCAGCTCTTCGCTGCTGAAGCTCATGAGTCATGCAGACACTATCGCTATAATAATCTAAATGTAGCTTGACAAAGGATAGCTTCTCTATTCTTCCACTACCCAATTGACAAGGTTTGCCATACATAACTCTCATGCTCAGCTCTTCACTGCTGAAGCTCATGAGTCATGCAGACACTATCACTATAATAATCTAAATGTAGCTTGACAAAGGATAGCTTCTCTATTCTTCCACTACCCAATTGACAAGGTTTGCCATACATAACTCTCATGCTCGGCTCTTCTCTGCTCAAGCTCATGAGTCATGTAGACACTATCACGTCTAGGTACAGTACATTGCAATTGCATTGTAAATTAAATACAGTTACAATAAATCTTTAAAAACAAAAGATATCTTACCAAAAACCATTCATAATCTTTACCCTTAAAAACATTAATAAATTCTTCAAAAACTTAGCAGCTCAATGAACTTCGGTTGCTGAGAACTCAAGCTTTCGGTGTTATTTCCAAAGGAGCTACGAATCACACTGGATTTGCAAACATGCCGTCGATGATCACCAGAGACATCATGTGACTTCAGATTGCGGCGTCGTTGTCTCATCAATTTCGCTCCAATATATAAAGCCTCTCGCGCAATTCATGAAAGAAAGAAAAACATATTTTAGACATGACTTGATCAAATCTCGAGTGAACTAAGGTTTAAATTCTGGTGTAATAACAAATCACCGTTAATGGTGGCTGACCTCAATGTTCTGAAAGCGATGACAGTTGGTCCAGCTTTAGTTTTAAACTTTCGACTTCGATCTTGGTTTTGACGTTCGTGTGAGGACACGACTTCGGTTTTATTGCATACCATTGCTGTTCCTTGTATCACGATAGACTCCCTTTGTTAATAGTATGGGGCTCCTAGGTGTTATGAGTGTTTGAAGTCTACCACTAGGCTCCGATCCGATTCTCTTCAGAACTTCCTCGTTTCTTTGTATTTGATGTTAACTTGTGGGCGTAACAAAACAATATGTTTTGTTGTAATCCCACTTCTGAGCTAAAACGCTCAGAAGGATGGTGATCTTAATTAAAACTCAGACTTCTTCAAAAATAATTTGTATTCACTTGTTTATATTGTTTTACAAAAATTAATCTGTTGCTGTCAAAAACAAAACCGCGCGAATGCCCGACAAGGATAGTGTTGCCACGTTCGAAAACTAAATCAATTCACAATATTACTAACAGGCATTATAGTGTTTGAAATACTTAGACAATATTGTTAGTCACAAATATAAATATAGTGAGCGATAAAATATGTGACTGTAACACTAGATAATGTTAGAAAGTACAAAATACTCGGAAAAATGACACATTGGTACTAGCCGTTGGTAGGTTTCGAACTCGCACCCTCATGCATGAGATGCGGTCGAAAAGATACACCCAAAACAAATTCAGAGGCCACAATCTGAACAACATACTCAAAGTCAAAGAGAATCGTAAAATTAAAATAAACTAGCTTCTGCCCGCGACTTCGTACGCGCAATCCCGATATTTCCCGTTCCCGTTCTTGATTTTCGGTAAAAAGTAAAAAAAAAAGAATTGGGTAAAAAGTATCCTATGTCCGTCTCCTGGTTCTAAGCTACCTCCCCACCAATTTTCATCCAAATCGATTTAGCCATTCTTGAGTTATAAATAGTGTAACTAACACGACTTTCTTTTATATATATAGATAATAATGATTAGCGGATGTCTATACCTACTATAAAAGTATAAATTATCTTGTAACACAATCACAATGCATTTGCAATAAGCTTTTAATTTTAATTTAACAGTTCAATGCCAGACATTGCGACATAAATTTCAAAATTCCGCTCTCGGAGACAAATTGATCAATACTGTGAATAAGCATTATTGAGTTGATAAAATGTAGTCAATTTATTAACATTTTTATCTTATTATGCATAGACTTTAAGTAGTTGTAGACTTGTAGAGGTTAGAAACACCTATTTTACATACATCAACAGCCTATAAATGGTCACTGCTGGCTGACCAAAGACCTCTTCTCGCACGGAGAAGGTTTAATACATATATTCAATTGCTTTCTTGTTCTGCGCTATAGAATATCGCTAGGCAAATTAGTCTAGCGTGGAGATAATGACACACTGTTTTATATAGATGAAGCCCATAGTCCACCACTTCAGGTATTGGCTGATGTTAATGATGATAAATCATAACAACACGCCTTTTATCCCCTAAGGGGTATGCACAGGTGTACATTACGGCACTTAATGCCACTGTACAATGTAACACCCACTTTTCACTATTTATGTTGTGAGTCTCCTGTGATTGGGAGTGAGCCTATTGCCATATACTGGGCACATTTCCAGACTCCGTGCTACCACTGAGATTTTTTTTAAAAACCCAGTATTACATTGCCCGACCCGGGAATCGAACTCGAGACCCTTTGCCCGGCAGTCGCACTTTCGACGACTCGGCCAACGAGGCTGTAATGATGATGAACCTTGTCTATATCGTAAAGCACTTAGGAAGTGTATCAAGATACGAGATCATATGTATTAGTTACTAAACTCTCTAACTTAATCCCTGATTTTTCGTATCGACAATCTTTATGATTTTTTTTAAACTGCCCCACACTAGGATTGTTTCCTGTGTCGTGGTTGCGTTTACAAATACATAATATACAAGTTCACATACACATGACACCCAAACCCGGAACAACAATCTGTGGATCACACAAAGAGTTGTTCGTGCGAGAATCGAATCTGTGACACCCAGTTGTTGTTGCGCGGCAGCCAGTTGCCCAACCACCGTCAACCGTGCAGTAACCGTATTGCTATAATAGTGGACAAAAACTATAGGCCGTAGTTCATAATTATCTGGCACCAATACTAAGCTGCTTATCATCTGATCCTAATATTATTTAATTCTTTGTTACAGAGAAAAGGACATGGGCGCGAAATTGATTGTCCAGATGGAGGGAAAGAAAACAAGATTGCTCACTGTCAAAGTAAGTATCTGTCTGTCTGTAAGTTGTTTGTCACACTTATCCAAGTACATTACGGAACCGATTTTGCCAGAGAGTGACCATAAACAAGAAGTGTCAGAAGAAGAATTATAGGATCAAATCTTTATAAATTAGATTAAGGTTTTTTTGAAGCAAGAAATTGAAGTTTTTGTCCTGATAACGTAGCGAAGATGGTAAGTACCTTTTAGGAATACAAATGGCTGAGAAATCGATAGGTTTAAGTCCTCTACCGTCCTCATTCCTGGGTGGATATTGCGTAATGACATTATAACACCTGTTCCAAAATAATCGGACAGAGAATTGTATATAGAATATAGAGAATCCATTTTTCAACAGTTATTTAGACCAGGGAAGATTACCATTGGACGATCAGATCATGATATGCTATTTGTCCAATCACTGTAGTTGTTCGATGTCAACCACTGTCTGACAATTGTCTACTGGACCTTAGTTCTCTCTAGTGCCCCCTAGCGGCGATAGCATTTATCCTTATTGTATATGAGGCTAGTCTAGCCATTATACAGTTGCTATAAAAGCAGGTATAATCCGTACATATTGAAGATTGTCACCGTCCTTGATATAACAATCTACAGACATATTAAATGGCTAACAAACACAACAGCTTACAATTCTAAATTCCCTATACAAAAGTATGTAAGCGACTATTCTAAACTATTGTTGGAACATCGAATAGATGACCTCTGTCGAATAGATTCAGTGTCGTGCCATTCACCCCTACAATTCATTATTTGATATTGCGAATTGTATTGATTTTGCTCAAATATTCTTGAATTAAATGTCTCTTGGGATCAGTAGAACTTAGTCTAATAGAGGTCTACTTGGGAATTTTAGTAAAATATCAGTAAAGAGAAGACCCGTTATAAAGATACTATTATCAAATATTTGTTATAGAACACATATTCGATTTCGCAGCAATAGGGATGATGACAGGGTATGAAAATTAAAAATGTAATTAGTCCGTCAGTTAGGTAATGAAAAAAATATTAGTCACGTATTTTTTTTATTTTCTCGTATTAAGTTGCAATACTTAGATAAAATGGTACTAAGTTTAGGAGTGGGAGGTCGTTACATAATAACGTGCTAAAAAATGTGGCACCCTGTGACGTCACACGATATTTCAAATTAATATATCGTCGAAAGTATTTAATTTTGTTAGAAAAGAAAAAATATGTGTCTAAAGTTTTAAATTAATGTACCAAACGGACATTCAAATAAAACTTAGGAAAGTACCCTATTTTAACTAGTTGAAAGTGGATTAAGTTCCTTAGTACCTATACAAAATTATATACTTACGTATGTAGGTATATAGTGAAGTAACATTTCTAATCTATCTTACGTAATGTGGACGATTTTTTGTAGGGAAAAGTTTTTCAAAAGCGGTCGAAATCCGTGGCTAATTCTATTCGCAGTAATGGATTTTTAATGCATCTCTAATCTCTGTTGAACGTATTACGTGTATACTATGCGGAAAGTCTATTGTTGGCCAATCCATTCATTCTCTCTCAATACATATCTTTCGGAGGTCTAATAATTTCGTTCGGCCAAACCACTGTCGTGTTTCCTTGTCATTTTTGACATCATATCTTCTATATTTAAACTGTCTGAAGACGTCCACAGTTAAAAAGAAAGGTTTGGCTTTAAATTTCTAGTTAATTCGCAATTGGATCTATCATAGACCTAGACTTGAATAAAAGTAACTCTTCGCAATGAATCTATACTCGTAACCTTTAGGAGGCAAGATCAAATTGGACTAATTTGTTTTTGTCACCAAGACAAGTTTTGTTTGAATGAAAATTGCTTAAAATGCGTAGAGGAAATTAGGTAATAGCATCCTAATATACTCATAAGATCACGCCTTTATATCCCCGAAGGAGTAGGCAGAGGTGCACATTTCGGCACTTAATGCCACTGTACAATGTAACACCCACTTTTCACTATTTGTGTTTTGAGTCCCATGTAATAGTAATAGTGAAATACCTAATATACTCAGGGCTAGTAAAACGTATATATTTTATTCAATTTAACTACTGCACTCGTCCTGTGTCGCGGAGAACCTAAAGGGTTACCGGGGCTCCGGCTCAACGTGCAGGAGAAAAAACGGGGTAGTTTTTAGTCAGTAAGAGTCTGACACTCCCTCCCGCCTCACCTAGGCGGGAGCAGTCACTCGATGATTTTCCCCCTTAATAAAAAAACTCGTCCTGTAGTGTTTTATGGATATCTACATCTTAATTTTATTGGTTACTTAGGTACTACCTTCTGCCCGTGACTTCGTACGCGTAGGATTTTCAGGATTTTTTCTGTCTTAAGAACGTTCTCCTAATAATAACAAATACAACAAAAAAAGAAATAATGAAATCGGTCCAGCCATTCACACGGGCCGCGACTAAGGGAATAAGGATTCATTTTTATGTATATAGATTTTGACATTTTATGAAATTGTAGAAAATAACCTAGCTTGGCCAGTTTATTACCTTAAAATAAATACCTGGGTAGAGTGAGTTGTTCTCTACAAAGCGATTATGTATGATGTGTGACGATGTATGACGTAGTAGTGTGGGTATAACAATATGATAAGATCGACACGAGCCGATTACAGCTACACCTGTTGAACTACATAAATCACGCTGTTTGCACAGCAGTTCATATCAAATACCAAACCATATAAAATGCTGTATTATGTGAATAAATACTGTTTATATTTACCTAGTTTGTCTATGATATCAAGGGTCTGTCCGCATAGCGATATTTCATCGCGAGGTCTTTATTCTCGCGTAATATGTTCCATAATCGGAATTACACCTAGTATACACTGCGAATAAAATTTCATACGATTTTTGTCAGTTATAATTCAATTCTTTGCCGAGGTGGACGTCTGAAATGGACAAGCGAACTTAAATTTTAATTTATCTAATTCTAAGGCGTAACAGACATATCAGAAGATATCATGAACATTAGATGAATATCCTTCAGACATAATGTGCTTTTCTAAACATACACTCATCTATATATCCATACACATATACATCTATCTATCCATGTGTCAAATTGCATAAAGACCCATACAGCAGTTTAGGAGATTGAGTAACAAACATCCGTCCGGACTTTCGTATCTAATACTAGTAATTTAAATATTATGTCGGTACAGACAGCGTGCCGTGTTACTTGCGTGTTTTAGCGCAATTTGGCTCACCACACCACTATACTGCGTGCTGGTATTTTAAACGATTGAGATTCTGTATGTCTATGTTGTAATTATTATTACAGAATTCTGATTCATGGCAAAAGATATGGTAGATTAATCCATTGATAGGTGCCTACTTGTCCATTCATTGTGTGTAGGGGTTTTCCCAAGCTACGAATTTATTGGCCTTGAGAGTTATTCTTGTTTTGGAGTTTTAAATGCTACTGGTTCCGCTGGTTTGAAGTGGAGTTTTCGGTCCGATTTCTTGATCATATTTATATATATTTGTTTTTTTTTATCATGCACTGGTGCCATCCTCATCTCTTCCATTTTAAGTCAATGTTTTTGAACTACATTCTCCAATCCATCTTTCAGGCGTGGAGATTATGGCAACTCTTATAAAGAGAAGCTCTGTTTTTTTTTTATATAAGAAGTCTGTAAACGAGTAGATGGATCACCTGATGGTAATCGGCGCCGCCCATCGACACCTGAACCGTGCAAGTGCGTTACCGGCCTTTTAGGGATTAGGAATTTGAGGATTGTTAGGGAATTCGGGGATTGGGGAGAATGGGGAGGAGGGTGATCGAGCCTCCGGTAACCTTACGAACCACAACGCAAGCGTCGTTTCACGTCGGTTTTCTGTGAGGCCCTAGTATCACTCCGGTCGAGACGACCCATTCGTACAGAAGCATGACTCTCCCATTGTAGTTACAACGGTAGGCTGTCATGTGCTGATGATGTGGTAATAAGTGAATAGACTATAGTTACTTCTCTATTTGTAATAGTATTTCTAGTACTGTAGTAGTGTAAATAACCTCTAAGATAAGACTTAGATTACAAAGAATTGTTAACTAATTACACTGCATTTTTGTCTTTGTCATATATGCAAGAATATTGTACACAATAAGTTCTTTATTATGCACCATACGACTGCCTCGTTGACCGAGTGGTCGTGGTGCGACTGCTGGGCAAGGGGTCTCGGGTTCGATTCCCGGGTCGAGCAAAGTATAACTGGGTTTTAAAAAATTCTCAGTAGTAGCACGGAGTCTAGAATTGTGCCCGGTATATGGCAATAGGCTCACCCCCTATTACATGGGACTCATAAATAGTGAAAAGTGGGTGTTACATTGTACAGTGGCATAATGTACACCTCTGCCTACCCCTTCAGGGATAAAAGGCGTGATGTTATGTATGTTAAATTTTAAAGTTACTTACAAATTGTTTCAGTATCTCTACGAGTGTTTTACCATGAGAATACATGCATGCAATACACATTATGTTTGTGTAGGTTTTCCAATTGTTAGAAAATTCTTAGTACCTATGGCTATAGGCTAACCTCATCCACTATTATATGGGACTTAAAACACAACTATTGAAATCTGAGTGTTTTTTTATTCTTTATTTCTTTATTCAATTTATATGTGTTAACTCCATTGTACCTTATTATCCTCTATTAAAACACATACACAAACAAATACACACGTGGTCCTAGTAACTGTTAAAAATCATAATGTTACATTTGCATGTCTCAAAGTTCCTACTAAGATCATTATAAATAATACAACTGCTAAGACAAACGAGCTCTACTACATCTAAAAATATCCACAAGTGAATTACCTGAGCCTCACAATGCGGATCGGAGCGATGACGTCACTGGTGTGTGACGTCACGCGTCGTTTACCAGGCTCTTAACCCTGCTAATTGCGGGTTTGAGTCCAATTCGCTGGCATGTCACTCAAGGACGTTTCTCAGATCATGTTACGATTTTTGCACTGATTTTTTGTAATGACTAATCGAAGTACCTATGTACTTGCTTACCTAGATTGATAGGTATCAATCTTCGATATGGATTCCAAATACATATTTGTTATCCACCTGATTAGGTTTAAAATGTAATTGGTAATAGGTATGTCTTTTGAATACTAAAGCAGGGGGCAAAGGTCGTATTGTCTATAACTGGTTATCTATCAGAAACCCAGTTCCAGGCCCAGGTTGGTTTTGAATTTGAGTAAGTGCTAATGAGTCCTCTACCTCCAAATCGTCCTCACCCTTAAACATTCTACGGGTGTACATGGATAGTGCTTATTGCTTACCATCAGGTGTTCCATTGCTCGTTTTTTGCCCTATTTGGTTATCCCATAAAATTGTCATGATTATGCATATAAATAAAAATGAATTTCCGTTCGTTAGTCTCGCTAAAACTCGAGAACGGCTGAACCGATTTGGTTAATTTTGGTTTTAAATTGTTCGTGGAACTCTTGGGAAGGATTAAAAGAAAAAAAAAACTATGCGATACGAAGTTAACCGGGTCAGTTAGTTAAGTTATAAATTTCCTTACTGAGCAGACAACGTAGCCAGAATAGTGGTTCAGATGGGGCCCAATAGGGCCGATGCCGATACGGAGCCGCGTAGAATTCCGTTAAGTTCTCCCCGGGCTCCGGCTCCAGCTCGTAGTGCAGGAGTAGTAACGGGGTGATTTATAATCCGTAAGAGTCTGACACTATGGCGGGAGAAGTCATTCGATTATTATCCCCCCTTAAAGAAAGCCAGAATAGTGGTTAATATAGTAGTAGAATTAATGCCCCATCAAGGATTTCAACCAATAATCGCAGACATTAATATCTAATTAAGTAATTATATCTGTAACCAGTGCTTACTGACTAATTACCGCAGCATTAACTTTTTTACTGACTGTTTATCTTGACACACTTGTGATCATTTCCCAATTAGAGTTACGTAACCATTCCTGTTTTGTTAATATGCTTAACAAGAGATCCTAGATTCGATACTCGGTCGAGTTTAATTAGTTTAATATTGCCTTCGTAGGTTTACAATAGTCTTACTTAAATATACCATAATATGTGGTCGGTTTTTAGTACTAGATTTTTATACATAATAGACTCAATGCTGTTTATACCTTCAACAAGAATGGTCCTAATGTTTTCTCCTCTGCTAATCCGATGGGATGACCAACCGACACGACCTTGTGGTGTCTTTGGCGAGAGATTAGGCCAGAACGCAGGTCAAATTCAAAGTCAAAACTTATTTGTTAAGTAGATCGTTTACACAGCATTTAAAATATACTATACATGTGTCTATATTATAACTTAACTCGTCGAGTACCGGTTTTATAGACACAATTAAAGAACAATAGGTCGCGGTCACCGGTGACCGCTTGGTGTTTGACAGATTAAAATAATAATATTTTTTTTCGGCTTATTATTATTATTTTTTGACGATGAACTCGACTAGTTTCAAGCCATGCCAGAGGCTCATATTCATGAGCAACATTCCGCGATCCGCGACGCGGCGACTGGCGCGCTGCTACTCAACTAGTCGAGGTCCTCGTCAAATAATTACGTGAACCGAAAAACATTATAATTACATAAATATGCTTGTAATATAACATTCATAGAAATACTATAAGTATGTATCTATTTAACCTAGTATATTTAAGTATGTATGCATTTAAAATTTCAAAGATATTTATAATTAATATCATAATCTTTGCCATTGAACTATTAATTAGACAGACATGTTCAGTCATAATCGCAAATAGTGTGAATCATATAGATCACCCGCTAAGGTGGTCGCTCAGTTCGGTCACTGCACAGAACTATGTCAGGCAATAATTTTTATGCCAACTTTGGGAGTGATGTGTAATTAGAATTTGTGTCTTTAACTACCTATCTCATATTTGCCAGAATACATTTAATGCTGAATAAAGACCTCCCTCTTTAGATGAAGTTTGCCATGATCTAGTTCTACACGCTTAGGAACAGTTTATGGTTTGGGGATAACAGTATTTTATTTATTTATTCTAAGCCATGGTCGTCCCACTACAGGGCAAAGGATTCCCTACACTCTTTCCACTCATCTCTCTTAAACCAACAAAACTCTTGACAATTCTGTTCATCGCCTCGCGATGTCGAATTGCGGTTTTAGCAATCGCTCGGTGCAAAATTTGAATTTGTGTTTAGAAGCTATCTATAGGGTTGAGAATGGGTCATATTCATCGTAAATTAACGAATGTTTGTATATTCTTCTTCCAGAATAGCAAAGAGCAAAATGACGGCAGTCGCGAGAAGTACAAGGACTTCACGTTCGACCATTCATATTGGTCGTTCGCCAACGATGACCCCAACTACGCGTCACAGGAACAGGTAAATTTATTATAACATTATTTAAAGTGCCCTTGTTTTCTTTGGAAAGCTCTTGACAAAATAGTCATGGACATCATGATACCAGCCCCAGAAAACCAGAATGTCAAGCCAACAGTCAGTATTATATATTACCTCTAAGTTTATTGGGCTATTTTGTTTCAAATATTCGACCAGCTAGGTACCACAGCTAGGACCTACTGAAGTTCTATGTTTCCAGGTGTTCGGGGACCTGGGCCTGGACGTAATAGACAGCGCGTTCGAGGGATACAATGCCTGCGTGTTCGCGTACGGACAGACTGGCAGCGGGAAGACATTCACCATGATGGGATCATCTGTACGTATTGATTGAGATTTTTTTTACCTTTATATCCTTGGGCCCGATAGTGAAAGGGGACTACCGGACTCTACCTATACCACCACCTAAGCATGAGGCTCTAAGAGTCCTGATACTTCCGCAGCATATTATCGTCACCCAGAAGCTGGTTCAAGTTTAAAAGCTATCAGCCTAGGTTATCATATTAACACAGAAGCGAGAAGTTCGTAACTTCCATATAAAGGGCGAACAAATACCAGCCATAACCATAACTTCTCTTGTCTCCTTAAGTCTCCTACATACAAAGATTATATCAAACTCCTTTATCCCTACAACTCACCCTCTTCCTTAATCTTCGTCATTTGTTCTTTTCTCTCTTTCCAGGAGTACCAAGGCCTAATACCTCGTATATGTCGTCACCTGTTCTCCCGCGTCGCTGCCGGCAAGGAGTCAGGTTCCTCCTACCGCACAGAAGTCAGCTATTTAGAGATCTACAACGAGCGGGTCAAGGACCTCCTCGCTACTGACGCTGGTCACTCGCTGAGGGTCCGAGAGCACCCCAAGCTGGGACCCTACGTACAGGACCTGTCCAAACATTTGGTGTCGGATTATGATGACATACAGGTACGATATTTTATTTGAGAGTATGTATTTTATGGGGTCTTTTTGGTCGTGTGGTCGTTAATACAACTATAATGTCTGTAGTTTTAGATGCCGGTCAACACACTACAAAATATAGTTGGTGCTTTTCAGTCCTGAGTAAACTCACAGTAATCTATGAGAAATGGGTGGGATAGACACCATATCAAAATGGAAAATGATTGTCATCAGTATGTTACTTAAATTTTTAGTAGTAGGTATACCAATAAAACTGAGGAGAGGTAGAATTTACGTAAGGCCGTCTATTACGTCGACCATACCTTTGTATTTTCCCTCTTCTCCTCTTATAATATCTTCTGATTCACTTCGTTGCGGGAACCAAGACAGTTATTCATGTCCCTGGGACGCGCCGGACATCAGTGTTCCGGTGTTTCATGGTTGTATCTACTGTAGATCCTGGTTTACAGGAGTTGCAGCGGTTTTGGGAAGTTGTGGCGGGTCTGTCCTAAAAAAGAAGACCCTTCCACTGAACTTATTGGATCTTTTTTATGGAATAGTATGAACAACGAGCAGACAGATCGTCTGATGGTAAGCAATTGGCTCTGCTATGGACACCCGGAATACCATAGGGGTTACAAGTTAGCGGCCATTTGCGCATTAGAAATTCGACGATTGGGACAAGATTGAGTCTCTGTGTGGATCTAAACTTCTAAGTCACCTAAAACTGATGTTATCTCTCTCTCTCTCTCTCCAGGAATGCATGCACCGAGGCAATCTCCACCGTACGACGGCATCAACACAGATGAACGACGTGTCGTCTCGCTCGCACGCTATCTTCACGATAACATTCGTCCAGGCGAGCTACCTCAGGCATAATAACATGCCCAGTGAAACTGTGTCTAAGGTGCATCTTGTGGATTTGGCTGGAAGGTGAGTAGATCTTCTGTAGGCTGTATAAGACTTTAAATGTGGTCTTTTAAGTGGTTACTGTTTCTAAATATTTTTAGAATAATTGGTTAGTTTCCTGGGTCAAAAATAAATTAATTTGATTTTTTAGTCCAATTATAAATATTGAAAAATAGTTGCAGTTTTGTTTATTGATTTGCCGATAAACTTAATTTTCGAGTTATTCTGGCATTTTAAAAAAAATATTAGTGTGCTATTTGACGCGAAAATATGATGACGTCATAAGTAGGGATTTCGTACAAAACTCATAGAACAGTATCGTTTTTGACGTTTCGATAAAAGTATTGAATTTGACTAGTGGTCAACTACCGTATTGTTATGTTTTCCGAGTTATTCACGTAAGTCAAGGAAATGGTAAGTCAAGGAAATGGATAAAGCTTGTTTCTATTACCGATACGTATACCAAGTTTTACAGCCGATCTTGGTTCAAAACCTCTAAATCGAATATAGTATTAGAACTAATCGAATATCGATCTCAACTTAAAGATTTAGGAACTAATTTTGACTGTAAGCATCATTTGCTCATGTTTTAACTGAAAAGGCTATAAATAATATAACATTCGTGAGACATACTCAATTAATTGTTATTTTCTTCGGTTTACGGTTTGCCGACTGTCGCGGGATGCTGCTCATGAATTTCTAGCATGAGTTTCTAGCATGGCTTGAAACTAGTCGGCTAGATTGGACCGAGATTGGTTAATAATTTCGGCTGTCAAACTAAGTACAATTGTTATCAGAAACAAGATTTATCCGTTTTATAACAAGTAGTAATAATATAAGTATGTTTCTAAATGATAAAGTACGTATTTCCCACGTTCATAAATAACATCGTCGTTCGGTCCAGTGAGCGCGCGGACGCGACGGGCGCGACCGGGCAGCGCCTGGTGGAGGGCGCGCACATCAACAAGTCGCTGGTGACGCTCGGCTCCGTCATCTCCGCGCTCGCAGAGTCCAGCCAGCCGCCGGAAGGTAAGCATGGGGCAGCTTACAAACTGACGGATCAACTGATGGTAAGCAGTCGACGCCGCCCATGGACACCGCCAACTTCAGTGGATTTAGGGAGTACGGGGAGATTTAGAAAATTGAGATAAATTAGGCGTCTGGTAATCTAACTAAAAAAAAGACTACATTCCTCCGGTCGAGCCGACCCTTTCGTGGTGAATCAGAGTGTGATATGTATCAGATCAGTGTAAAACAGACTTTTTTTTAAAAGAATAATGAATGGAGTTTCACTGACGGACAGACTGATAGACAGACTATTATTTATTTCATATTTGTTGACGTTTCAAAAGTACCAAATTATGGTTTAATTGAAATAAATGCTTTTGCTTTTGAGTTTGAAGCATGTCATAAAATTTATCTTGTTCTTACAATCTGTTTTATTTTGCAGCTCGCCAGAAGGGTCAGAAGAAGGTGTTCATCCCGTACCGAGACTCGGTGCTGACCTGGCTGCTCAAAGACTCACTCGGAGGCAACTCCAAGACCATCATGATTGCAGCCGTACGTAACTTTATTCATAATAGAAAGTATTAATTTTTATGAACACTACCTTCAAACAAAACTGAACCTTTCTACCCACTACTAAAGCATAAAATCCCAACAGATATCTCCAGCGGACTGTAACTACGGCGAGACGCTCTCAACGCTCCGCTACGCGAACAGAGCGAAGAACATCATCAACAAGCCGACCATCAACGAGGATCCCAACGTCAAGCTCATCAGGGAACTGCGCGAGGAGATTGACAAGCTACGTGCACAGATTGCGCATAATACTGTAAGTTTGTTATTATCTGTCTGTATATATAAATCTCTTCCGTTACTAAGTGACTGACTGAATGACTGATCGACTGAACTGAACTGACTGACTGGCTGAGTAAGTGACTGACTGACTAAATGACTGACCGCCTGAACTGAACTGAACTGACTGACTGAGTAAGCGACTGACTGACTGACTGAATGACCGACTGAACTGAATGAGTGACTGAGTGACTGACGTACGAACTAATCCTTACTATCCTTACTAATATTATAAATCGGAAAGTGAGTTTGTTTGTTTGTTTGTTTGTTCCGCTTTCACGCCGTAACTACTTAACCGATTGATTTGAATTTTTGCAGAAGTAAAGTTAGAAGTCCGGATTAAATAATAGGGTACTTTTTATCCCGGAAAAAATTATATTCCCGAGGGAAAACAAAAGTATTCGTATAGATGGCGCTGTGTGTATTGATATATGTCACATAGGCTACTTTTTATCCTTTTGTGACGCGAGCGAAGCCGCGTGTAAAAGCTAGTAATATATAAACAGCTAAAATATTCCTTCTTCTAGCCTTATCTTTGAAAAAAGATTTCTTTATGATAGTCAGTATCTTTCCCTTTCCCCGCCTGACATATAAATACGATAAACAATAATAAAAATATGTATTTTACCACCAGGATCCAATAGAAACCGAGCCAGGAGTACTAGCAACTCTTCAACGCAAGGAGGCGCAAGAGAAAGTATTGACTGAAAAATGGACAGAAAAATGGCGGGAAACGCAACAAATATTGCAAGAACAAAAGGCGCTGGGCCTGCGCAAGAGTGGATTGGGGGTCGTTCTGGACTCCGACATGCCCCATCTAGTTGGGATCGATGATAATCTGCTATCTACTGGCGTTACTTTGTATCATCTTAAGGTATGTGGTATTTTAATATGTCTAAAGAAGGTTTTGAGTTCGTTATTTGCACTATTAAACTAAGAAAAATTGTATCCTTGGCCGAGTGGTTACAAGTGGGACTGCCGGGCAAGGGGTCTCCCAGGTCGCGAAGTATTATTGGGATTTAAAAAAAAAATCACTATTAGCACGGAGTCTGGAATTGTGGTCGGTATATGGCAATAGGCTCACCCCCTATTACATGTTACATTGTACAGTGGCAATAAATGCCGCAATGTGTACCTCTGCCTATCCCTTCGGGGATAAAAAAAGACGTGATTAACATCAACTGTTATGACGAATTAAGAAAAATCTTTACAAAAAAATCTATTTACAAATTCAAAAAAAAAAGTCTTTATTGCTTCATGTGTGGGTACCAAGGTGTTATACATAATACATATTATTTTGGTTAAGCAGTATCAACATGACCCTGTAACCCTGTAAGGGCGCTGCAATTTGTATTAATTAATAAAAACACTATTTTATTCAAAGATTTTACATAACATATTATTAAAGTATTACCACAATTGCTTCAATTGATTTTCGTTTATATTCTACATATTATACATATCTACCAACTCCTTATTTGCACAATTTTATTTATTCATTAACATTACCATTATTTTCCTTTCTATTGTTATTATTTCATTTTTTATTTTTTAATATCGTTGTTTAGAGTTTGCGGGCGAACATCTAAATTGGACTCGACATCAATGGAGCCAGGTTCTCTTCACAGATGAGTCCAAGATAATGCTATACGGTAATGACGGAAGGAGTAAGGTGTACCGAAGAGAGAACGAGCGTTTCGCGCAATGTTGTATTGACGAAAGAGTGAGTTATGGTGGAGGATTATGGACTGTCTGGGGAGGAATCTCTATGGAAGGCAAAACTGAGCTAGAGGTAGTAACGGGACCACGACTGCCGCCCCTAGATGGCAATAGATACATTCGCCAATATTTAGAGAACCACGTGATGCCATATGCTGGATTTATTGGCCAAGATTTCGTTTTAATGCATGATAATGCAAGGGCCCATACTGCGGGAATCGTCAGGCAGTACTTAAATGACATTGGTATCACTGTTATGAGGTGGCCAGCGCGAAGTCCTGATATGAATCCTATAGAGCATCTATGGGATGAGCTGAAGAGGCGTGTTCGAGCTCATCATCCTGCCCCGCAAACCACGGAGGAGCTCAAAAATGTAATTTTGGGAGAATGGGAGGACATTCCTCAACATGTCATAACGACATTGATTAATTCTATGCCAAACCGAATGAGAGCTGTCATAAATGCACGGGGAGGCAATACAAGTTACTAAATAAACATTTCTTTTCATTTAAAAATTTTTTTTATTTAAAAATTGATTAGATTTTTTTCTTTGAAAAAAGCAAATATGGACTTGTTTCAACGTAACTCGACTTTTTTAATAAACTGTAGTTCAAATTTAGAACAGTGGCACTCTAAATGAATGTTGATTAAACCATCTCCAAAACTGCATCAAAACATTTTCCTTCTACATAGATTTTTTACAAGTTACAGTACTCCAAACCAAAAAAAAACAAGGTGGCTCGATTCAAGTGTCCGGAAGTGTATTACTTGGTATTTTGTTGTAAATTTTTATTGACATGCAATAGGGGCCTTTATGAAATATTGATAAGTTGGAGGTAGGAAGCGATAAGTTATTTCTATTTCTTAATTGACGGTCTTGCGAATAGTGGTCACCACGGAATATAGAATACAATGGAAGTAGCTTGAAACAATATTTCTGCCAGAACCGGTGTCGCCAAACTAATACATTTATAATTTACTCATACTATAAATCGGAAGTTACGATTGGTTAGAAAAAAAATGGGCGTAAACGAAATGCAAAAAAAATATCATACGATATGCAACTTTAAAATCAATGCACTATAAATCAAAATAAAAAAGTATATTTTGGACTACCAAGTACCGCCATTCGTCGCTAGATGGCGTTTAACAATGCCATCTAGCGACGAAAAGTTGTACTTGGTTTGAACTTTAACGTCGTAAGAATAAAGGTGATATTTGAATGGCTTATCACTGGCTCGAATGCGAGTCTCTACTCAGATAGTGATGTAGCCTAATTCGATAAAAATAATATCGATAATATGAAAAATGTATAATGTGAAATAAAATATTGACTTCGATAGTGTGACAGTATTAAAATAATAAAATTAATATGTCGTTGATAACTTTTTAAACGTAACAAAAAAGGGTAAGTATTTATTTGCATGTAAATTAAAAACCATTTTGTTCGTATTTTTTATTAGTTTCTTTTTTCAAAAAATCATTTTTTTTATTTCACATTGGCAATATAAGTAACAACTATTACATAAATTTTTACAAACTTTGTATGGATAATGTGATAAATGAGAGGGATGGCGATAAGGATGACGGTGCTGATCTGCTCCGTGAAGTGAAGGTTGCTTCCAATCACGTCGGGGTAACCACTAAAACAATAATAAAAAAATAATCTAAATAAACGTTACATTACACTTGCATCGATATCAATCGATAAATTAAATATGTGATTTGACCACATCACTATTTGAGTAGCGTAGAACTGGCGAGAATGTTCTATTGAATGGAATAAATACAAAATAAACTTTATCTTGAAGGCGTAAGGTTGATTTTGACTAACCGTTTTAGTAAATAATATTATTTTAATAACCGTTTTTGTAAATTGAAATGAAATAAGATTTCTACAAGAAAACAATGAAAATTGTACTTACCGATGATACGAAACACCTCCATTTTTACGATTTTCCGGCTGCTATCATTTTTACACGCCAAAACGGAACAGAACGGCATAGTTGAGGAAATATGTATTTGTCACGAGACTAGCAACTCAACGCGATGTTCGAACGAGACTGAACTCGAATTTGCCTCGAGTAAGCAGTACACTGCCCAGTTGTGGCACGCGTGCCACGCCTACTTGCTACTTCCATTGTATTCTATATTCCGTGGTGGTCACGGTTACAACTAAAAAGATTAATATTTTTGTAAACAAATAGGCTCAAATCCAATATATACAGAGAAGTCAAAGTAAGGACACGGAGTGTTTTAAAGTGTGGTCTACGTTGATTACGTTTTCGTAATCATCTTGGGATCTTTGGAGGGACCTTGAACCCTACATGCTTGGCTGTAACGCACGTTGTTCAGCAATTAGTTATTCTATGTGAATGACTTAAGGCGGACTTTTCTTGAATTTATGATGTTGCGCCAGTTGCGATTTAGGTCAGCGTTTGTAATTGCGCGTAGCTCTTTTAGCGTAGTCCGTTTGAGTAGATTATATTTTTCATACTAAGTCCTCGCTATAAACAATGATTGTGTTAAAACATTACATATTGTTTTGTCTCATAAATAAATGATTTTTCTCTCTTTGTTTGTATACAGGAGGGTGAAACAGTGATAGGTAGTGCGGAGCTAGTCCCGACCCCCGACATCGTGCTGTCGGGCGCGGGCGTGCTGCCGCTGCACTGCCGCGTGCTGCTGGCGGCCGGCACCGCCACGCTGCAGCCCGCGCCCGGCGCGCAGTGCTGGCTCAACACTGTACTCATTGACAAACCTGCTAAACTTAGCCAGGGTAACTACTTGCTCATTTTACTACTTAAAAAAATTGTCGTGAAATATACTTAATTTAATTTTTTTTAATCTCGTAATTGTTTGAGGTTACTCGACTGGTTTCAAGCCATATATGTGGTTCATAATCATGAGCAGAAGCATCATGTGCGGTGATCGACATGGCATAGTCTACTCAGTATGAGGTCTACCGTATTTTTGTTCACCAATGGACGTTCAATATTCGACTCCTACTGTTATTGGACAAAGTACCCTCTTTCAACAATTGCGCCATCTGGTGAGAAACAATACAGTGGCCCCTGTTGGCTTATGATTATGAGTCCCAGTTTAGCTTGAAACTAATCGAGCACCCTCGAAAAATTGGATAAACTTTTCGAGGTCACTATTAATTTACAAATAACTCTTACACGTGAATATTGCAACATTAGATTTAGATTCCTAGCCATTGAACTAATAAGCTGCATAACTTTGCCCAGGTTGTATCCTCCTCCTGGGTCGTACGAACATGTTCCGCTACAACGACCCCGCTGAAGCCGCCAAGCTGCGTCAGGAGGGCAGTGCCTCCGTGATGAACCTCTCCCGCCTGTCCCTGCTCTCCTGGTCCACCACCGACCTCGCTGCTAGCACTGAAAACCTTAATACTACGTTGTCGTGAGTATACTCCTATAATTGTTAGCAAATACACTTAAAATGTCCAATTTGCAAAACATCATGTACCACTTTGATGATGAGATCTTTTAAAGTCGTTAAAGTAACTAAAATGGAAGTATGGTAATGCATGTTTACGCGAATTTAAACCTAATATATTTGAAAGTATAAGCTCATAATATTTTTTCAATTCGGTACTTGCCAACTAGTCAAATTCGATACTTTTTTCTAACTGTCAAAAACTACCGTTTTCTATGAATTTTGTACGATATTATGTATTGTGACGTCACGTTATTTAGCGTCAAATAATATTACTTATTTCTTAAAAATCTGTTGTAAATATACTAAAATTAAATTGATCATAAAATCAATTAATGAAAGTGTGATGATTTTTCTATATTTTATTGTATTGAACAGTCGAAATATTTATTTTTGATTGAGGATAGTATCCAATTTGTCCAATATTATCTGCCCTACTGAGCCGTTTAAGTTCGGTTGGTGCGAGCTTAGCAAGTAATATTCTTCAATAAATTAATAACACAGTTTTAAGCTATCTGAGAGATTTTAGGGAGAATACCAAGTACCAAATGTTATCTGTCATATGTTAAACTACCTATTTGCGCGCGGTTTCACCCGCTCTGCTCGGCTCCTATTGGTTGTAGCGATATGTTTTATAACCTATAGCCTTCCTAGATAAATGGACTATCCAACACAAAAAGAATTATTCAATTCGAATCAGTAGTTTCGGAGATTAGCGCGTTCAAAAAAACAAACTCTTCAGCTTTATAATATTTGTATAGATTGGTAACCATTTCAACTAGTTTTAAATACGTACAATATTTTATTTTCACAGTGACTTGGAAAGTGAGATACGTTGTGAACGTATCGAGGCTCAGCGCGCGGAGCTGGAGAGGGAGAGGCAACAGTTCCTCATGCAGCAGGAGGAGAGGCAGCGCCGGTGGCATGCCGAGAGGGAGGAACTCATACAGGCGCAGAGGAAACTTGATGAGGTCAGTGTCAAGAGGACATTAGAAATTATGAAACAAGATGTCCTTCATTATAAACAACTCGTAATAGTCTTTTTTTAAGGGGGTAAAATCATCGAATATCTTCTCCCGTCTGGGTGAGGCTGTAGGGAGTGTCAGACTCTTACTGACTAAATTCCACCCCGTTCCTTCTTCTGCACGTCGAGCCGGAGCCCCGGTTACCCGTTAGGTTCTCCGCGATAACTCGTAATAGTCTAAGGTCTCCTCTTCATGAGAGGTTTTACCCTAATTGCATTGCTTCAGGTTCCAAATCGCAATTTAAAAGATTAACCAATACGGCGGAGGCCCAATAGGGCTGATGCCGATACGTAGCCGCGCAGAACATAAACGGTTACCGGGGCTCCGGCTCGAAGGTCGATATGAGATCTGACACTTCCTCCCGCCTCAGCCAGGCGAGAAAAGCCATTCGATGATTTTTCTCCCCTTAAAAAAGTAAAATACTCAAACGTTACTCAATTTTAAGTCGCGCTTAAATATCAGTCCCCCCAATCTCCCCAATCCCTGAATCCCCAACGAACCTCAAACTCCTAATTCCCAAAAGGCCGGTAACGCACTTGTAACGCCTCTGGTGTTCTAGGTGTCCATGGGCGACGCCGATTGCTTACCATCAGGTGATCCGTCAGCTCGTTTAAGGGCTTATGCCATAAAAAAAATAGTTCTGTCACTACAAATTTTTTGTAAAAGGACAGAGAAGGTATATCTAAGAAATCTAACAACTTCAAATTGTATTCAGGCGTAGACGCCTTTCAATATTCAAGGGTAGGTTTATCAGAAATTGTTGCGATCCAGTCTCTGTCAAATCTTTACCTGTCCCTTAATCAGATCTAATCACACCTACGTTATGGTGGTAAATTGGTGATAATTCTTTTCTACTGCTACCACACTGCCAATATTTCTCTAATAAATTGATGATCTGACTTTACCAACCGTTTACAAAAACTTTTGACTGTTGCAACCTCGTCCAAAAATGGGTCTTTTACTTATATCTTAGTTTTATACAAAAAATACAATAAGCTCCTCGTCAAACAGTTACGTGAGTAAGTCAAAATACATAATACAGTGAAACTTGGTTAAGTGAGACATCAAGGGACCTGCAATGTCTTTTCACTTATAAAGGTATTCCACTTACCCAGTGTCTCACTCAGATATACAGGTATAAATAAATATTTGTCTCATTTACAGAGGGTTCCATTAATAGGGGTGGACTTGGAATTACGTGTGAAATTTGTGGGTAGAATAAGAATGAGTAAACAAACAATGTTAACTCAGTTACAGAGGTTTATGCATATAAAATTTACTCGCTGTTTCAGTTATAGAGGTAACTATGATGATAAATCGAAAGAACAAATCCCAGATATAGAGGTTTACCTCGTTCAACTAACAGAGCTAGGTAATACAGTGCCAAAGTGTTGGGACCTTAGCATGAGTTCTAGTTATGGAGGTTTCTCACTTATCCAGGTCCCACTGAACCAAGTTTCACTGTAATTAATTTAGTATGTCTCACGAAAGTTATAATATAAACATCATCGTCTCTAGGAGCGTTCAGCAATGGAGAGAGAATACGCAGCGGCGTGTAGAAGGTTATCAGGCGACTGGCGCGCTCTGGAGCGGGGCTGGGGACAACGACGTCGCGCGCTGCGCTGTCGGCAGAGGGAGCTGGCGTCGCGGGCCGCGAGACTCTCCGCGCTCAGTGATACTCATCGAACTGCAGTGAGTAGTCAAATTACTATGTAATTATTGTAGATATAGCACGATTTAATATTTAAAGTGTAGGCTGTAAAATGTAGAACCAAGTCGAATAGTCTTATTGCTAATGGCCACTGTAGTACACTACAATGGGAGCTGACGTTTTTTTTTGGTCGCCAAGAGGCGCAAATATAAGAAACACTATTTTCCCTACCCCAGTAGCTGTCAAATATTGAACGTCCAATAATGGAACACTAAGCTAATTCCTTATTGGACGGAATGTTCACAATAACGATGGTGAGCAAAAAATATTGAAGGCCCCATATACTCAATAACTAAATAGTTTTTTTTACTAATACAAATTATTTTTTCTTTATATGAGGATCATAAAAAACATTATTATGTTCAAATTATGTAGCCGTTAAAACGTCATGGCATGCGTACTAAATATATAAAATAATTTTCACTCGATTTTCTCACACTCTCACGTGTTATGTTACGTCTATCACCGGGGCTAAAACTAAAGGCTCCGGTTTGCTCGAAACTAGTCGGACATGTCCGTAACAGAATGACACAAACGGATATGTGACACGATAGCAACTTAACTCCAACACTCATAGTCCACAACAAATTATCTCCCTGGCCGTAAAGTGGACGTAAGTATAAACGACATTGTTCAGAATACAACATTCCTTTATAAACTTAGTACATTAGCAATGAGCTTGCTTGCATATGTATTATCAACTGTATTACCATTTGTTAACGTTAAAAATTGATTGCACTGTTTTATTTATTGGAATGTTTGTCGACTTCCTAGCGTCGAAGTTATAGACTTAATTTCATGTAATTGCTTCATTTTAATATTATCTAAGACACTGCGTTCGTTCTCAGATGATACAGTGTGTTGCTAAATAAGGTAACCTAAATTATATCTTGCATAAAATTAAATAAAATTACATTCGTAAAAGTTAAATTAACCTTACTCTTTCAATAGATTAAATAGACTTTCAACTTTATACTCTTTAATAGTGTAGATAAAGTGCTCGACTCGACTGCCTCGTTGGCCGAGTGGTCGCAATTGCGACTGCCGAGCAAGGGGTCTCGGGTTCGATTCCCGGGTCGGGCAAAGTATTACTGGGTTTTTAAAAAATTCTCAGTAGTAGCACGGAGTCTGGAACTGTGCCCGGTATATGGCAATAGGCTCACCCCCTATTACATGGGACTCATAACATAAATAGTGAAAAGTGGGTGTTACATTGTACAGTGGTATAATGTGCACCTCTGCCTACCCCTTTGAGGATAAAAGGCGTGATGTTATGTTATGTTATAAAGTCTAATTTCGCGTAACATCTATAAAATTCATAAATATAGACAGATTTTATACTCTTACCTAGTACACATAAAGTCTAATTTCCCGTAACGTCTACAAATGTACTAAGTATAAGCGAAAAAGTTTGAATGTACTGTTGTGAAAATGTAACGAGAAGTGTGAACATTGCAACGGTTTTTGTTCTTTATTTCAGTAGACATGTGATAATGCTCTATTGTGTTGACATTGTGAGAAAATGCATGATTATGTAATGTTTACGAATTATTGTTGTAGCTGCTGAATTATGCCTATTTATGAGGTAGGTAGATAGTGGTAGTGAGAGAGAATTTGAGATGACATGTCTTAATGATAAGGTTGTAAATACGTTAGCTGCGTGGCCACCTACGCGTGTCAATGGGCGGCGCTAATCTCTTACCATCAGGCGACCCATCTTTTCGTTTGCCTCCTATTCCATTAAACACTCTATGACCGGCTAAATGTCCTAGGTTTTTTAGCGAAGGCTTGTACCGTTTTCTGTAGGCAGTCAAAGGCTTAGATATTTTTTGAAAAGTGAATCGGGTTTCGTCTGATCAGAGTTTAATTTTTTTAATACATATAATTAATAAATATAATTAAGAATTAAAGATTGTTTTAGTTGACTACGAAAACTGTAATTTAAGTTGGTTACTTCTTACTGGCTAACCCCTACAAATGTCTTAGAATCGCCACCAGGGTTGGGAGCACTGAAATCACTGATAATATTGTAAATGAACAAAAAACCAAAAAACTATATAACATTACGCCTAGGGTACGCAGAGGTGCACATTACGACACTTAATGCCACTGTACAATGTAACAACCACTTTTTACTATTCATGTTATGAGTCCCATGTAATAGGGGGTGAGTCTATTGCCATATACCAGGCACATGTCCAGACTCCGAGCTACTACTGAGATTTTTTTAAATCCAGTAGTACATTGCCCGACCCGGGAATCGAACCCGAGACCCCTTGCCCGGCAGTCGCACTTGCGATCACTCTGCCAAAGAAGCAGTCCAAAAAACTATCAACTACTTAATGTGAGCACTCGACCAGCAAGACTGATAAAAATTTTTACAAACATTGTGAAAGTAATAAAATCGATACACTAATGTAAGTGCGTGTTATAACAAGATTACGTCAACGTGTCATTGTCCTATACAGTTTACTGTGCAACTATTGACTCGACTCGATACTCGAGTGAAAACAATCGATTTGTTTATCGATTACCGGAAATTTTCGATTTCAAGAGTTTTTATTGTATTGTTTTCTGTTGATTGGTTTCAAAATATTGATTTATTTTTTTATTTCTTAGTATTGTCTAGTAGTTTAATGGTTTTCAAGTGTGAGTGCTGAGGGTGGGGTCTTGTTTCTCTCGTCCCGAATCTATAGTGCGAATATTTCTAAGCAATAATATTGGATTTCGAATTATACCGTTGGGTGTGATGTTATGCGTGTATATAACCTCACTTAGTACTACCGCTAAAGGGAAAATGATTATAATAGCCCATACATAATAGTATTTATTTTTGTACTTTGGTTATTACCTATCGTGTTTAACAAATTCAATTACATTTCACATTACTGTGTTCAGTTTCATTTTAAACGTCCAGAACCGACCATCCTGATTATTATATTGAACAATTATCAATTTAATTATAAAAGCATAAGGTGGAAACCAAAAACAGAATTTAACGACTTAGTAACCTATTCCTGCCATTACCATTGTCTACATTTTCGATCCAAATATTAAATCATCAAAACGTGTGAACGATTTAAAAAATACGTATCGTAAACAGTGTGTTATCTCACAGAATTCTCTCTCGTTGCCACAATCGAGAACAATAAGTAGTGCTTCCAGTTTAGCGCCAACAATGAATTTATTGTTTTTATAATTCCCACTATCTTACACTTTATATCGAAGCTTGCAGTAGTTCGTACGCGTCTGTGTGTCTGTGTGTTCGCCTGCAACGTTCATGTGGGTAGGCAGTGCTGTTAAATTTTTTGTTTTATGAAGTTCTGGATTTTTTGAGCCTATGTCTATGTTTTGTGTTCCAAGTGTTTTAATTGATTTCGCGATTTTGTGTTTTTAACCGTGATTAATAAGAGTGATAATATTTAATGGTTTAATTATAAGATAAAGGTTTAGCGGATAAATGTAACAGTCTGTTAAAATTAATTACCTTGTTAACAGGATAATTAGGTACCTCTGAAAGTAGACCGATTTCTTGTATGTTAAAGTTGGTTAGGTACTTTTTTGACACAATCTAATTGATTGCTTTAATTTTATTAATGCTTTTCAAACGTAACGAGTTTATTAATTCATATTTTTCAGTAAGGGATACAAAGTTATAACGTCATATTGTTATTGTTATACATAATTTGTATGATTAAGTTTTGTTTTATAAAACAAAAGAAAATCATAATATTGAATTGTTTTACGAAATTCTCTTTGGTTGACAAAAATCTAATAGATATGGAACTATTAACTTTCCTGAAAATAAATTAAAGTTCCTAAGTATTTAGTCCAAATAAATGTTGCCAAGTTTGTCAAACTAGAACATTGTGTGTATGTTATCCTGTGTATTGACACTTGTTTCATTGGAAACCAATTACTAGTCATTGTCATATCGACCGATCTTTGGCAATAATGTCGAACTCGCCGTTTATACACCGTACGAGACAGTGCGTCAATGAATTACTATTGTTGTGTAAAGGTTATATGGCGTTATACCTTTTGTTCTCTGACAGGGTAGGTAGGTATGAAATAATTTTCGTATTTTTATTAACCCCTCGAGCGTCCTTATGACCACCCGGTGGATCATAAGAAAAATGCTCCATGCTGCTTTCTCTTTTATAAAATCTGTTATTAATGTTTTGTTTTTATTTTGACTGTATTTTTATTTCTATTGTAATGATCCTTGTTTTCGTGTGCCAATGGCCAAATAAATGCATTTTCTTTCTTACTTTCTCCAAATGTCACGTGTGCACCCGTTGGATCATAATGAACGCGGACGCTCAACGGGTTAATATGTATCATGTTAATTGAATGCACAGTTGGCGCGGTGGCTAGGCAACTGGCTGCCACGCAACATGTCGTAGTTTCGATTCCCGCACGGAACATCTCTTTGTGTGATCCACAAATTGTTGTTTCGGGTCGCACCCACGTCACAGGAGAAAATCCTAGTGTGGGGCAAAGGATTGTAAGAAAAAGAAAAAAAATGTACGTTGTATGGTGGTAGTAATTTATTAGGGGTATTTACCATACATTTCAGTAACTACCAAGTTTACTGCACAAAGTTATTATTTCACTTATTACTTTCACTTCCTAAACACTAAAAGCTTTGCGTCACTAATTTGTTTGACAAATGTCTAGATAAAAGTTAGTTAAAAAAATCCAGAGCTTCAGTTTTTATTTTTGGTTGCGCTTGCGTGTAGGCTGAGAGTGAGGAGGGTCGCGTGGCCGCGCTGCGCTCCCGAGTGGACGGCAAGAGGGCAGCACTCGACGACTACATCAACACCAGTGTCCAGGAACTACTCGCTAATGGATGCACTTTAGATGAGGTAAGTCTTCTATAAGTATAGTGACAAAAAGGGCATTTTTTTATTGAAATTTCGACTTCATACTAAAGCAATAAAGTTTAAAACTAATTGATAGAACGGATTCGTAATCAAATGAAAAAAAAAATACAGATTTGATTAGGATGACCTGCTTGTCATTCTACTTTAGGTTTCTTCAATCTGTCTAACTATAAGCCTTCCGATTGTAAATAGTGAATTGTTGAAACCAATTTCCCATGTAAGTTATCGGTAACTTACTTGGATGTTAACGTGTCAGGAAAAACAATTTTAGGGTTAAAAAAAATAAAAAACGTGAACTATGAAGTCCCAGAGGCCTTAGTACGAGACCGCTTTCGGCGCTTTAATTGGCCGGCTTCAATGAACCAACCAATCAGAGCGCCTGACGTAGTCACTTTTCAGTTACTTTAACTATAAATAAAATAAAACTGGTACTAAGGCGTCGGGATATCAAGAGTGATCAGATAATAATTAAACGTAATATTGGTTGTACATACATAATTTGTGTTTCATGTAGTCACGATATGAAGATTAAAAGTAATAATGGTTTTATCACGTGTTCCTTATTCTCAAGTACAAAGACAGTAGACACATAGGTTTTAAAATATTCTAAAATAACGAATATATTTTATACAATATAGGTCAGTATTTAATAGCACAAAATGGGAAATTAATACAAAATGACGATAATTTATTTAACACATAAAAACTACGTCATAATTGGAATGCAAAAATGAACCTTGTTACGTAAACAGTAACGCTGAAGGTTAAATATGCTAGAAATAATAACTTTTAATTTCATAGTACTTGAACAATAATAATATAAATATTTATGTATTATTATAAATTACCTCTTACGTCACGGTACTTCAAAGTAATATAAAAAGAAAATTATACTGGTTTTTCTTAAATCGGTAGTAAACAGACATACTTAATACAGACTGTATTATTATGTAATAAGGTCGAAAATATCGTACGACTTCTTTCACTGGTGCAATTTCAGAAAAATATAAATGAAAACGAAATGAGTAGCGATTAGTACTGTATTTTGGTCAAACTGCTGTGACAAGGAACACTGATAAAACTCAAAGCTCAGTTGAACATCGTGAAATCCTGTAGTAAATGATTCTGTCTTGGTAATACAAAAGTTTTACAAACTAATAAAATGTTTAAAACAAAAAATAACTGGTGAACTATTACAAAAAGCAAACTTGGAAAGCGCATGTATTACGTATTATATTTTTACTTAAAAAAAAATTTTTTTTTAAGTAAAAAAATACTTCTTTAAAATTTTTTTATTTTTAATTTATACGTCGAAAGTACTCCTTATGGAAAGTTGTATTGCCGCGGCAAGAAAACGAAATAGATTTCACGGTGTAGAGACTACAATATCCAATACAGATTACAGTACTACAGAGTACTTGGACTACAGAGTCCAGAGTCCAGACAAAAAAGAAAAAAACCCTTAACTTTAAATACTATGTTTCAAATAAAACCTCCATGACCACTCGATGCAACAAAACAATAAAATGGTAGAAAAACAAAATAAAAATAGAACATTTTATTCCTTATTTATACACTAGCTATGCATGGCTTGCATTTTTAATTGAATAAATCGCATGTTTAATTGTAGTTAATGCATTTTTGTATTGTATCATTATAACGTTAAGATTCAAATTGGATTGCAGTGTTAATGTAGGGTGCAACTGCAAAATATTACCTTTTTATTAAAGGTTAAATATGCTATGTGTAGGTACTAGGTCTATGTATTGTGACATGTACATATATTGTATGAAATATACATATTTTGATAGTAATTCTATACCTAAAGAAAAACAATCTAATTGTCTTTTGTTTCGCAAGTTTAAGACGTTAACTTAAAATGTGGTTTGTTTTGATGCACTAATGAGCTAACTTGGATTTAAAAAAGTATTTTATAATAACTATCGTGCTCGTTACTCACGTGAGTAGGCTGCGCGACATCGCCGCGTCCGCATACGCTGCTCATGAGGAAGAACCCCTCTGTGGCTCGAAACTAGTAGAGCTTTTCTCAGTATATTCACGTGAGTAACCCGCGATTTTGAATTAATTTGGAAATATTTTAAAATGGTTTGTAAACTGCTTATGAAGTTAATTAAATAATCAAAAATTTTTCGAACCAAACTAACTAATCAGTTCAACGGTTTGTATACTAATATTACATGTATAAATGTGAAAGTTATAATGGCTGAAGAGATCGGAATTAAATTTCGAACAGCATTAGATTATGGTCTAAAATAATACAGGTACTTTCTATCCCATGGGAACGCGGGCGTAGCCGGGGACAGAAGATAGCGTGAACTAAATAAATTATTTTAAACTAACTTTTACCCACGGCTTCGTTCGCGTCACAAAAGGATAAAAAGTAGCCTATGTGACATATACCAATACATACAGCGCCATCTATACCTATTCTTTTGTTTTCCCTCGGAAACATCAAATTTTTCCGGGATAAAAAGTACCCTATTATTTAATCCGGACTTCTAACTTTACGTCTGCAAAATTTCAAAGCAATCGGTTTAGTAGTTACGGCGTGAAAACGGAACAAACAAACAAACTCACTTTCCGATTTATAATATTAGTAAGGAAGTAAGGATTAAGTAATCTAGACTTTATTATCTTTCCCCAGAGTTCGACACCCAGTCCGGACAGTCCAGCATCAGAGACGAGCACGGAGAGCCTGATGCATCTGCTGCAGCAGTGCGAACCCAAGGTCGCCTCCAGCATCAAGGAGACGGTCGACAGACATGTGAGAGACCACCTTTTTTTCTCGTAGTCTCTAGTAATTATGAGATGTTAAGAATGCTGGATATTCTAGAGTTGCTATCAATTTTTGCTGTCTTATCTGATAAGATTTAATTCGCCAGTAGCACCAATGGGAGCTACCGTATTTTGGATCAATAGATGACGCAAATGTAGAAAGAAGCTTTATTATGTCCAATAACAACAGCTGTCTAATATTGAACGTCCAATGGCGTGACACTAGCTAACTCTCTATCGAAAGAAGAACGAGAGATTAACTAAAAATCGCGGGTTACTCACGTAAATATACTGAGAAAAGCTCTACTAGTTTCGAACCACAGAGGAGTTCTTCCTCATGAGCAGCGTGCGTAGTCGCGGCGATGTCGCGCAGCCTATTTTTATTAATTTTTTTCTTAAAAAAATCATACTAGGATTTTCTCCTTTTTTATTGATATTCACGTGAGTAACCCGCGATTTTAAGTTAATTTAGTATGTCTCACGATAGTTATTATAAAAACAGAAGAACGAGATGCTCCCACTGGCTTCTGGAGACCAAACGGTAGGGCCCATTATAATGGTGTGTCCACATCTATTGAAAGGTTTGCGACATACTCGTGAAATAAGAGGTATTATTATCTTCATTCTTTTTAGAAAAAGGAGTTATTAGAGTTAGAAGAAGAGCTGCAGAGTCGCGTAGCTTCAGTAGCGTCTCACCGCGTGAAGATAGAGCGTCTCCAGGCCGAGCTGGCGTTACTGAGCACGCAGGAGCTCGGCCTGCAACATGCGCTCGCCTCCGACCTGCCTGCCGCAGCCGATACTAATGGACTCGGTATGTATAACTTGGAAACTGGATCTTGCATCGTCATCACCAGGTAGATGATGATCACTGGAAGAAATGGCTTTCCTTTGATAGAGATTTGTGGGTTTTAGTATAATTCTCTATTCTGGCGGGATCTTGTGATTTTGTGAATCTAGATAATTATCATTTTCTAACTAGCTACTTCCGCGCGGTTTTGTTTCGTTTCGTTTCGTCGTAGCGTGATGTTTTGTAGCCTATAGCCATCCTCGATAAATACGCTATCCAACACAAAAATAATTATTCAAATCAGACTTGTAGTGACGGAGATTAGCGCGTTTAAACAAACAAACAAAACACAAACTCTTCCGCTTTATATAATAGTATAAAATAATAAAATTGCGGCTAGTTGATAGACCGAACACAAATAAATTTGAGTTATTCTGGAAAATTTCGTTATCACGAATTTCAATATTGTCTCAAAAACTCGATATCATATAACTTTATCTTAACAGTCGTCTTTTTAATATGTTAAAATTAACGTAACTATGTTACTTACAGAGGGTTCTGGCTCCCCATCCCCCCTGGAGGGGGTGAAGCGCAGCAAGTCTGAGCTGGTCCTCCGCCGCACTCCGAGAGAGGAGGTACTCGACCCACTCTCTGCTGACGAGAGGGAACACTACAGACATCGGAGGATAAAGTGAGGATACACCGCTTAATTATTACTACACTTCACTGAAGTGTAGTGACTCTTTAATATAAATGTAATCCCGTAAAGGATGAAAAATCACTCGCAATTTTCTTTAGTTATAGAATTGGTTATATTCTAAACCATACTGAATATCTTTTAAGTAGATAAGAAGAAGAAGAAGATCTTTTAAGGAGATAACAAGTATAGCTCTACCTTAATGTCACAATCTATTTCTTTCAGCCTTAGTCTCAGCCTAGATCCTCTAGCGTCTCCAAATTCAACCCTGAACACGGAAGAAACGTTCCACACAGCTACGTCATCTCCCAAGAAGTTCCCAGAATGGGCCCCGGCAGAGGATACCACACCCACGTCACCGGACACAACGGGCCCCGCCGCGCCCCCGCAGCCACAGTTCCGCTTGGGGCCCGTGCCCACTGCTGATGATAGTGATGACATGTCCAGCACTGAGGATTATCATAAGGTAGGTCATAGGTCATGTCACATGTGGATTTCTTCAAGCACTTTGTAGAAAAAAATGCATGTTATCATCAGCCGTCTGATGATGGCAATATGGTAAGCCGATGTCACCATCCTTACTCTTGAAAGCCTACTTTTTCTTCATACCAGCGCAACACCCTGTCTTGCACATGCTGAACTGGTCCCATTTCACCGCAGACTTGGGAAATGAACATGTATCCATCAGTACCGATAGAATAACACATCTGTCACGTCGTTTTTTAGCGTGAAAAATCTTTTATCTTTCTTTCTTTCTTCCCACTGGTGTAGTTAGTCGTCACTAAGGGATACTTAACTAAGGTCTGGTAGCAGCGCTTTCTGATGAATCATCTCTAACCTGCCTGCCAACGGTGAAGATTATGACAAACCGCTCTTATTTACAGAAGGCCCATAGTGCAAACATTAGGCTGTTGTTAAACTAGAACACCAAATTATAACCATCTCCCCATCCTTAAAACGATTAACGACGCTACGAAAATAAAATATTTATTATTATTGTTTGTAGCCTAGAATAGTGGAGGGCCAGTCGTCTAGCTCCGTGGAGCGGTCGCCTGAGGAGCGGCATCAGAGAGCCAAGTACAAAAGAAGGGTACCAGGTGAATATGAAACCCTATTTATTATTATATCTATTACATATCTACGTTACGTTAAGTGTGGGAGAGCTATGCTTTGGCTCGAATTTCCGCCTCACGGAATCCCCATCATGAAACAACCGTAGCATTGTGTGAGTGAGGTTACTTAAACCCCTATCCCTCACCAATCCCCAAAATACCATATCCTCAAATACCTAACTCCTAAAATGTCGGCGACAAACTTGTAACACTAGAGAAGCTTCTGTGTTGCCAGTCTTAAATTGTTATGTATTTTAATAGGAGAAGGTAAACCAGGTCGTCGTCAGGTGACGGAAGTAGAGGCGTTACGCGCCATGCAGCGGTTGTGTTCCCGCATCGCCTCGCAGAAGATGCTCGTCATATCGTCGCTGGAGAACGACTGCTCCAAGGAGGAACTTAATCGGCAGATCGCGGTAACTTATTGTTATTACTACTTATAAGTACAAGCTATAGCTTGATTTTAGGTTTCCCTGGTCCTTCCCTCCGTGTATCCATCTGATGAATCACAATTTGTGAATTACTCAACATGTAACGGCATATCACAGAAAACCGGGACATTCATTTGTGGATCACACAGATACCCAACCAACACCAATATTATAGTTTAAACTCCGGCCCATTAATAAGATTCATAACAAATCAGAATAAGGGTTTTCCAAAATATTTGTAAGAAATGGTAGTTTTAATTCGCTCTTATCAGAAATCTACTTTATTCCTAAGTACATCACTTAAGCCCGTGTCTGCATTGCGACTATTGCTCTAAAGTCACAGGCTATGCCAAAGCATAGCCTGTCACCATTATTTCAACTAATTTCCAATCCCCAGGTCCTACAAGAACTCCAAAAGAAATACGTGCGTTTGGAGATGGCACTCCAGTACTCGTTTTTCGACAATCAGTCGCGGCGGCCCATGATGGTCACTCCCATACAGGAGACTCCCTCCCTCACACTCTCCGAGAGCGACATGCAGGTCGCTACTGAGGACCCGCCTACTGAGAACGGACATGTTGAAGACCCATTGTTGCACAGGTTTGGATACATGTTACTTATCATCATCATCAACAACATTCCACTACTTGACTATTGTCCAAATACTCAAAAGCCACTTTTTTAAGACACGCTTAAGTATAGTTGTGTCACTATTCACGCTTCAGTATGATTCTTTGTAAAATGACAGAGTTGGCACGATATTTAAGTACAATTATAATTGTGTAGTTTCATGTGTCAAAAATAAATTATTTTGATTTTTCAGTCCAAGAAATATTGAAAAATAGTTACACTTAATTTTCGATTTATTCTAGCATTGTTTTTAGATATAAGTATGCTATTTAACGCGCAAATATGATGAATGACGTCATAAGTTGGTAATTCGTACAAAATTCATAGAACGGTATTGTATTTTGACATTTCGATAAAAGTATTGAATTTGACTAGTTGTCAACTAACGCATTGTACTCAAAAGTACGATATTATAATTGAGTAACCTTTCAGTATTCGAGCGTATAGGTCTCCTCTACATAAGATTTTTACTGCTAGGCGGGTTGGAGATACCATTTTATCAAAGAGCACGTCTGTCTGTTCTTTATCAAATGTGGAGTCTCTAGTTCGGCTCATGCAATAGCAACGCAAGCATAAGGCTGGCTATTTATAACTACACATTTAATAAAAATATTACGGTCTTCAATCAGCATGGTAAACGTGTAAATTATGTCAAATCCTCTTACTGAAACGAAGCTAGTTCAGTAGTGTATAGTCAGGTGTCTTATTTTTCTTTTTTGTTAATAACTAGCTAATTCCCCACGATTTCACCAGCTCTACTCGGCTCCTATCAGTTGTAACGTGATGTTTTATAGCCTATAGCCTTCCTCGATAAATACACTATCCGACACAAAAAGAATTATTTAAATCGGACTAGTAGGTTCAGAGATTGTCGCGTTCAATACAAAACTTTGTCTTTATATAAGATAATATAATATATTATTATTATATTTTTTCTAAACCCAGGTTAAAAGAACAAGAGCTAGAAGGGTCGGATAACGTGTCGACGTCCAACGACGAGTTACCGGGAGAAACACACGAGCCGCCGTGGGAGGACCCGTTACGGTGTCGCGTCCGATCCGATTATACCGAGTCCAACGACCGACTCGACCGACTCGATCGGCGACTCGACAGAATCGAACACTGTGACCGAGACCCGCCGGCCCGGGACATATCGTTACCTGTATGTATATCTATTATTAACAATTGTAAATGAAGCTACCTTAATACGTTATTTTAATGGATTTTCAACTTTGTTGCTAAGTGGTACGATTGAAAATCTACTGAAGAAATTAAATAGCAACAAGTGGGTAATTTAACATGCCGCTGTATGTATGAGTTTAAAAAAAATCTTGATTAGTAGAACAAGATCTGATTTCTAATTAAGACTGATTGAGTTTTTGTAATTGTTTTCTTTTATTTTTTGTTCTAGGATCCCACGATATGTCCCGGTTTATCACATCCAATAGATTTCAGTAAGTTTTTTTTTCTATTTAACTTATCTGACTAAAGTTTACCTTCGATTAAAACAGTATTTGCCTCGAAACAAGCCGCCAACGACTTCATGAATAAGGGTCCCGGTGTGTCTTGTAACCAGTAGAACTTTTCTCGCCTCTCTTAGATATCTTTAACGATAGTTAGGAAACCGCTGTTTCACCCGCTGCTTGGCTCCTATTGGTAGTACCGCCAAGTACCATGTTTTTTAACCTTTTTCTTAATACACATGACAACACAACATAATTATTAAGCTACAGGTTTCGAAAATTTGCATTTTCAAACATAAAAATAGCCTTTTCAGATATGTCTTATACTGCCTCGTTAGCCGAGTGGTCGCAAGTGCGACTGCCGTGGCAAGGGGTCTCGGGTTCGATTCCCGGGTCGGGCAAAATATAACTGGGTTTTTAAAAATTCTCAGTAGTAGCACGAAGCCTGGAATTGTGCCCGGTATATGGCAATAGGCTCACCCCCCTATTACATGGGACTCATAACATAAAATCATGAAAAGTGGGTCTTACATGTTACAGTGGCATTAAGTGCCATAATGTGCACCTCTGCCTACTAAACTGCCTAAGAAAGGTGTGATATTATGTTATATGTTGTTGTATGGCCTATACCTTTGAAAGTCAGCAATTTCAAACTCAAAGCCCTAAATATTAACAGTAGGTTTAATTTCCAGGTGAAGTAGTAAGTATCCCAGGCTGGGTGACCCGTGGCGCGGGCGCGTCCACGCACCACGAGTACGAGGTCCGCATCCAGCTGGGCGCGTCGTGTCGCTGGCTGCTACTGCGGCGGTACAGGCGCTTCCGGGACCTGTACCTCACCATGCGACGGGTTTACGGACCTAAGGTGCGAATTTATAGGTTCTTGTACACATTTACAGCCAATTTTGGCTTTTTAGTTCTTTATAGGTTTTAGTTCAAATTTAATTTCGGCTGTCGAAATCTGATATTAGTTTATGGGCAATGATTTAAGGCATTAAAAAAAAAATAGATTTGTACTATATTTTTGTTTTTTCTGCCTGACCACAATTAAAGGCGCAAGAAGCTGCTGGATACAGGTGGTATTCCAACTATGGTGGCTGGTATAGGTTCCTACTATCATGATAGGGTATGGTGTAAGATTGGTCTTGTACGATCAGAGCGCTCATGGTAGTGGTATGTTGTCCGCGCAGGTGGGGTCGATCCCGTTCCCGGCGCGCACGCTGTGGGCGGGCGAGGCGGTGGCGCGCGCGCGGCGCGGCCAGCTGGAGCAGTTCCTGCGGCGCCTGCTGGCGGCGGCGGCGGCCGACGCGCGCTGCCCCTTCCGGGACCCCGACCGCCCGCTCACCAGGGACGCGCTCGTCAGCTTCTCGCCCTTCTTCCGGAAGGTACGTCATACTTAAATGTATCTTTCTAGCTTTCTTTAGTGTAGTGGAAATCCGCCATCCATGGGTTGTTTCTCTCGTTATAGGGACGACGTGGAGATTGTACCTTACTTTTATTGATTGAAAGTTCTTGTGGTGTGTAAGTGGTTGAAAGAAAGAAAGAAAAAGCATCGCAGTAATGTTGACTGTATAGTCGTATTTTTAATTAGACGAAGTCGACTGACGTTTGCTGTGTTGTCAGTTTTTGATGAAATAAAAATAGTGTTGCGAAAAAGTGAATGATTGAAAAAGCAACTAAATGAATGAAATTGTCTCGATCGTCTAGTGAATTAATTGAAGTAGTTGAAACTACAGATGAGTAAAATATAAAAAAATTAGGTAGTTATGGATAATAAAAACAACGCTAATAACATCATTTGATTTTAATCATCATCAGATAAAAAATCATCGCTATCACTTTCGGTGACATTAATAATAAAGTTGTCTGACACATTGTCAATCATGTGGTCAAGGCCATACATTTTGTCTTCTTCTTTAATAACGTGAGACACGCAACTACTCCATTTTTCTGCTGTGATGAGTTGAAGTCCTTCTTCAAACAGTTTTTTAACTTCTGGCATTTTAAAAGTTTTGTTATTTCTTGCCACATGTCCTTTGGCCTGCGCCCATACCAACTCAATAGGGTTAAGCTCACAGTGGTATGGGGGCAGACGTAAAACCGTAATTCCATGGTGTGCTGCCATCTCGTCCACAACAAACTTTTCAGAATGTTGGTGTTTGTGCTGTCGTACAATGTCTATAAGAGTAGCTTTGATCATTGTTGCTTCGAATGCGATATTTTTGCTTGTTAGCCACTCTTGTATTCTGGATTTAGTCCAAGACATTGTAGGCAGCGATTCCAGTTTCCTGGAGTGGTACGGGGCATTATCCATCACTACCACGGAATTTGGTTTGAGTTTTGGCAAGACCTCTCTGAACCACTTTTCGAAGGAATCGGCATTCATCTCTTGATGATAATCTTCTTTGTTTTTTGTGGCTTCAAATATTAATAGGCTGTCTTCTACGAACCCTTCTTCCCCGCCTATATGTCCGATAATTAAGCGTTTGCCCTTTCCTGAAGGTTGTTTTAAGCCAGTGGTCAAGCCATCGAGGAAGGCCTGGCGGGAGGTTAGCACTGTTTGGTCAATCCATACCTTCTTCGGGGCATGACCTTAAAAATAGAGAAAAATATCAATTAATTATTGAAAGTAGAGGGACCTTCTAAACACATGCCTGTAAATGTATGTACACGTTTATCTAAGTGGTTTGTCATGTTTGTTTGTAATTATTCCTAATTTATATTATTGTCACACAATCAGAATTTACAGTCTTATAAGAAACGCATGTAATCTGTGTTAAATACAGCGTCGGTAACGAATTGTAAGAACTTTTATCTGTGGCCACAAAACCTACAGAAAGTAAAATTTAAAATGAAGAAAACAAAATTGTAATTACCTTCGTTGATCCAGGTCTCATCTTGGTAATAAATATACCTTCCTTCTCTTCTATACTGTTTTATTTCTCGAAGGTATCGCTGGCGCCATAGAATAATATCCTGTCTGTCAATAAGAATGCTTTTTCTTGTCTTTGAAACGTATTTGAAATTCAAATGTTTCATAACATTTCTTAGTGTACTCCATGAAAAAGTCGGTAAATCTGGGTCTTCATTGACAACTTTAAGGATCTGTAAAGTAATAAAAATGTTTTTGAGTAAGGAAATCTATGCAATCTAATACTTTGGTTTTACAAAGAACATTATGGTGGACACAGAATATAATGCAGTAGACGGAATAAAGTTTATGTTACCTTTGCAATGGTGGGTGGCTCATTTGCATAAAAAAACTGATGAACTTTTCGCCTTATGGCAGTAAAAGTAAAATCATCTAATTTGTCTTTGAAATTGTATTTCGGTCCACGTTTCTCGGGTGATTTAAATTGTTCATTTTCTTTGTATTCTTTTAATACACTGTAAACCGAGGTCACACCAATTCCCAAAATGTCAGCTGTTTTCGAAACACATTCCTGTTTTTCGGGGGTTTCAAAAGGTAATAGAGAAGCAGCTTTCTCCTCAAATACGTGTTTATACACGTTCTGTACCATGAGCTTTTCGGTAACGCTTAACGAAACCCGTGGTCTCTTCCTTCTCGGAGACAAGCTTTGACTTGACGTGCTTGGTTGAGGATCCATATTGTTTAAAGGAAACAATGAACCACAATAACCGCAAACACAACGAAACAAAAAACTTAACAAAACAACGTGAGCGCAGAAATAACAAAGTACGTGCTTTCAGACCAGAGGTTAGAAGCCGAATAACAATCAAAATGGCGACCGACGCGCGCGACGTCGATCGGTGTTGTCAGTACTCGCCGCGCCGCGCTTTACAATAAACTATCAAATATTGATACAATTTTATTAGAAATAGAAATAATATTCATTTATGTTTTGGAATGATTAAAATTATGAACTATTCACATTCATTGTTCATTCATTTGATTGAACGAGAACTGTAGCCATCACTATTACTTTAAATATGGCCACATTATTTTACAATTTGACATTAGCCATTGTCAGTTGACTTCGTCTAATTAAAAATACGACTATAGTTGCCGTGGCACATCAGAAAGCTTAGTACGAGTTTGTTTACGTTTAATGAGATTAGGGTTGCCATCTTTAAAATTTGGAAAACAGGACAAGACGCGTGAAAACCCCGGATTTTAGAGTCCGAAAGCATATTAAACTGTCAAGCACCAAGCGGTCACCGGTGACCGCGACCTATTGTTCTTTAATTGTGTCTATAAAACCGGTACTCGACGAGTTAACAAGATATTTTAAACATATTCAATGTAATAAAAATCAGTTGAAAATGTCATAAAACACCCTTTTTTACCGACTTAAAAAAGGAGGTACTATGTTCGGCTGATTTTTTTGTTTGTTCGCTGATTTCTCCACCATTTGTGAACCGATTTCCAAAATTCTTGTTTTATTTGAAAGGGTATACTCCCGAGATGGTCCCATTTCCATGAGGTCAGGATCTGATGATGGAATCCTAGGGAAACCGAAAATTGTAGGGGCGAGTAGTGCGTCTATTGTTTTTCAATTAGGATTTTTAAACACTACAATTTGATAGGGAGCTGGAGTCGACCTGCTGATGGAGCCGACAGAAAGTCGAGAGTACTCCTCAACGGTTTATATTAACTACCTTGTATTTGGGCTTGAATAATTTGTATTGATGGGAACTTTACACCTAGATGGAATGGGACTGTCATGAAGGGTCTGATGATTAAGGGAACTTCTCAACGGTATACAGTAACTACCTTGATTAATTTGTATTGATTAGAACGTGGCATCTATGTAAATTATTAGTGGCAATACGGATCAATGTAGCTTTACACAAAAAAATATAAAATAGAAAAATAAAAACTGAGTTTAAAAAACCGACTTCAAAAACCAAAAACTAATAACAAATAAAAGGTAACAACTTAAAACCCAAAACTAACTATTATTAGTACTGATAGGTTACCCACCCACTGAGCTTATGGCACCGACTTTTAATTTATCAATTGGTGGATAACCTATAAAGTACTAATAATAGTAATTTTTTGCTTTTTAGTTTTTGTGTTATCAGTTTTTGGTTTATTGAAGTTAGTTTTTTAAACCTCATTATTACTTTTTTTACTCAATGAAAACAATCATAACTTTAACTACAAAAATAAAAAGCAATTATGCACTCAAAATTAGGTACACGATTTGTCTATCTAGCTATTGAAACGTTTTCCATTAATTTTTTCCGATAGCTTTTAGAGTATCTTCCTTTTTAAAAGTAATTTAAAAAATCAGTGCAGCTGTATTCTTAAAAACTGAATTTAATTTGAATTGTTGAAGATATTGTTTTTACGCTAGTAATTTTCTTTCTTTAGTCCATTGTTGTGTAATTAATGAGAATACCCTCTCCACGTTGGCAATATGCGCCGGAATGCAAAAAAATAGTGCGCAATTTTCAGCAATTCCGAATATAAATTCGCATTTAGCGTTTTAAAAAATTGTACCCAAAGTTGATTAGAATTTAAAAGCTCAGTTCAGTTAAGTTTTGGCTCTAAATCCTTTAATATCACCCACTCGTTAAATTAACCTACACATTAATTTTGTGTCGTCAATGTCTATGTTTTTTGTCTTTCAAATAGAGGACAGTGCCTTCAATAAGAGTCCACTCTGTGTTGTTATTTTTATTCATTTATTTTTCTATTTTTTTGTTATTTATTTTTATTATTTATTTATTTTTTAAAACCCGGTCTACAAATGAAACCTTCCCCGGACGCTCCCCGGGTGCCCTCTAAACTAGGACAAATCCGGGGAAACCAGGACGGATGGCAACCCTAAATGAGATCGAAACGAAACCGCGTTCGGCGCTCTGGTTGGTCGATTCATTGAAGCCGGCCAATAACAGCGTCGAACGCGGTTTGGTATCGATCTCGTTAAACGTAAAATAAACTTGTACTAAGCCTTCAGAGCATCACGACAGGTCCCGACGAGCTTGTAGCTCTTGGTGGCTTCTTCCCTTCATTGTTTTCTGCCTTAATAACTCAGTTAACCTATAAAAATGTTAACAAACAACTTTACCCAGATAGTTAATAATATTAGAAATGTATGAGTTTGACGAACATAACTGTCCACTACCCAGGGCGTGTTCGAGAGCGGTAAGTGTGGTACAGGATGATGTCGGGCCGAGCTCGCCCCGTGCTCGTGGCGCGCGCTGGCCGGCACGCTGCGCGCGCTGCTGCACGCGCTGGCCGCCGCCGCCGCGCTCGCCCTCGCCGCACTCGCGCTGGCCGCCATACTGCTCTACAGGGCGCTCAGACCACCGCGGAACCAGTAAGGCACCACCATATCATGTAACTTTGAAATAGATGCCAGTAACCAAAACGGCAATTTTGTAGATAACATGAAGATAAAACCAATCAACCACCAGTAATCACTGCCTTTTAGCAACTATAAAATTGTCAGTACTAGCTAAACAATAATAATTTCATAGCTAACATAATGGTTATAGACAATTTGTTTTGTCTTTTACTACACATCTGTTAACAATGAAATTGTCATTACAAATTCAATTTTATAGGTACGTAAAAGTTATAAGAAAAAGCAAATTTTGTTATAAAAATCAGACCAAAAAGTCTCCTATTAATGTCAGAATATATAACAGACTATATAATCCGCAGTGACAAAGTTATCTTCAATACACGTTTTAAGGTGGTTTTAGTGTCCAATGTAAAATTTAAATAAAGCAAGGTGGTTTAAAGCGTCGCGGTGTCCAGTTCGCGTGCCCGTCAATGAACTACTAACCCAAGGGTGTCCTTTATCGAGTGTCACTGCTTAACTGAAGACGTCTCGCAGACTAAACTTATTAAATTAAACAAAAAAAAAACACATTGTAGTAAATGTAATTTAATAAATACACATTCAAATTTGGTCAATGTTTTATCTCAAATCCGAAGAAAATTATCTTTCTTCAGAACTGTAATCTTCAAGCTTCGCAGGATTGGGGATCACTGAGAGGTTAGATGATGTGAAATAAAATTAACTAAGGGCTGATTTTTTTCCAAAACCATATATTTTATCGGAGGAATACTATTTGACAATACATATTTGACAATTCTTCCATACTAAAACAGTCAAATATGAATTTTATTTTACAGATGACAATTATCTGTTGATTGAAAATTGAGCTCTAAATAATTGTGTTCACTATCCTTAACGTTTCGTGTTGATACAAATCAATATAATATGATTAGGGTTATCATGTCTGACTTTACTATTAGGGACGCTAGTGTATAACATAAACTAGTAGAGACAGAAAAACTAACTAACTAGCAGACATTACAATATCAACCTTAAGTGTAAACTTAAAGTTCACATTTTAATTAGTTGCGCTGCTGATCTGTTCCATTTACTAAATTATCCTCACCACCATTTGCTTTCTGTCCTATAAAAACAAGTCTTATTCATAAAAGTCTTGATATTAAACCAAATTGAGCTAATAAGACTTAAAGTTACACTAGCGCCATCTATGGAGTGCAAAAACGTCTTCCAGAAACGTAATTTGAGTATTTGATACGACCACTTGTGTTCATTGACAAAGGCCTAATATTTTGAAGTCCTATAATTATATACTTATAACGGCCTAGTGGTTCTTTGACAATATTTTAGCTTCGGGACTTCGATACATTCGTAATTTTCATGTGAAAAAAGTATTTAGTAAAGATAAATGCCAAATTGTAGCTTGTTAAACTGCGGTAGATTTTGCTGTGCATTGCTTTCATTAAAATATAATTATTAGCGTCAAAATTTTGACTATATCTATAGCGAAAATACTTCTTTCTTTGTAATTTCAAATTACATTTCTTTACCGACGTTTTACTCTGCGAGACGTCTTTTCAAAGCGATATTTAAATTCATACAACAATGCTATGCCGTCATAATTGAATATTTGTTATTAATTTCAACTTTATTGTTATATTTATTAATATCAATTTAGAAAATTTTGATTGAAGTATCGCAGTTACACTTGATTATTAATCAAATGTCAGCCATTGCAAAACTAAGGGCAATTTACATGTACCTATAAATATAAAAACAATATTGTAGAATCGACACAGAACTTGCATAGCAATAATACAGTTTTATTAATTAATTGACACATATTTTCAAGTTATAAATATATCTAAAATATGAATTTATTTAACGTATACTGTCTTAGAGTACAGAATCCCTTTTTCGAGTCAGCTCAATATGTGGCATAAGACAAAAGTTTTAAATATTTAAATCCAATAACGGTAATAAAAAAGGGACAGAAAAGGGGTGAATAGATATAAGGAAATTCTTAACAGTGTCGATTCACTCCTCTTTTGTCCCTATTCACCCCATTTTAAGGTATTAAAATAAAGCTGTATCCGATTTGACATTGACATGTTAGCAATATGGCGGACGACTCTTTGACAGTTACTATTCCATGTATAAAAGACATTTGTTTTGTAATTTTCATTATATTTTAATGTTGTGTTGTCTCTTGTTATTGTGATCTGTTGTGTTTTTGTCAAACCTTTGTTTTATCCCTTATAAAAGTAAATATCTTGGTTGATGACCGGGGATTTAAACCTCTTCAAATGATTTTCTATCCTATGTCTATAATGTAAGGTTGATATTAAAAATGCATTATGTTTTGCAAAATTGTGCCTGTTTGGTGTAACTGCAAATTATAATATACCTTATGATAGTGCAATACGAGTCAAAATCAAATGACAAAACTCTATATATTTTTAACTTTTTTTATATAATTAAATTTTGTAATGAACTTTGTTTTACCGAGTCATCAACCATAATATTAAGTTATTTGAGCGATTGTCTGAAAGTAGAGAACACATAACCACGATATATAGCTGATATATATTATACAAAGACACATACTACCATTTTTTTATATTTTGACTACACTACGTTTATAACTGATTTAGTTAATATATTTTTATAATAGGGATAATGAATAAACTAACATATATATAGTCCATCACATAGATAATAAAATAAATATTAGACACTTATTTTAGTCTATCAAGTTAATAGACATCTATTTTGATAAGCATAGATTGACAGCTTGTTACGTCATTGTTTAGTATAAAATATATGTGACGTCATTTAAGTTTTCACCGTACTTACAGGGATTTGACAAAATATATACAAAAATAAAATAGATATATATATGTATAACATTTAAATGGTTCTTTAGTATGTTGTGCGTGATGGATTAATATATTGTTTATTCATAATTCCTGTTATAAATATAATTGATGATTTGTATATTTTGTGCAATGTTTAGGTTTTTTTGTTTAATTAAACAAATAGGTTTTTATCTTGTTAGAGGACATCCAACATTTTACACGTAGAGACACCTTCGAAGGGATCCAGGTGCATAAATATGTCACAAACGGCATCAAATGTCCATATATTTGTGCTTTTGTATACCCAAAAGTGCAGTAAATCAACATTTAGAATAATACTAACATTAGCTAAGTTTTAACAGAGTTGATTCACTGCCTTTTACTGTGGACTTGGTGCGTATATATATATATATATATATATATATTTTATTTTTAATTTTGACTAGCGAAGATTTTCCAGTAGTATTGTTTAACGATTCTATCATACGGTTGGCGGTTTAAAAAGTATATAGAAGAATTAGACGATGGTTTTAATACAGGGTGATAATGACTGCTATCTGTGTAGTAGATGGATGTAACGTATCAGAGATTGAGACTTAGGTAATATCAGAGAATAGAGCTACATCTACCGAATATTGAATGTTAAAAGAAAGTAGAAAAATCTTTAAATTAGCCTCAAACACATGTAGTTTCTAACCCTCCGAGGTGGCGGAAATATATCACCATATATAAAGCTAGTTAATAGAGTCCACACGGTGTCTCTATATGTAAGAGCACCCTGTATAAAGCACCCAAATTGACGTAATATATTTTTCTACGTGGCGAGTTCATAAATGAGATTCATCCGTACACAGGACGGCTGGAGGTATAAATTATAAATAGATATATTATAGTTATAAAAATTGTACTGAACGTATGATTCGTGTTATAATTATTATTTAGTGTTTAGCAACTAACATGCACAATTTTTAGTTTAATTTCTATTTTTGTTGTAATATTATCTTCTCGCTTTAATCTTATTCTGATATTTTGCTTTCTGATAGTCATTTTGTATGTTACTTTATATTCTAGATTTTCTCACATTTAATTATTTCATAATTTTGTGATATTTATTTATTTTTATGCATGACTTGCAACAATTTCTCATTGTGTAAAAATTTCACTCGGCGTAATAAAATATAGCATAAAATATAATTAATATTAAAAACTCTACACATTTACTTCAACAAATAAAATTAATGGTAATCTAGGATTTTAATTCCACTATACACTAAAATATTATAATAAAAAACAGAACTATGTTAACAATTGGATTACAAATAAAACAATTTTACTAAATAAATACATTTAAAAGAAAGTCTGAGAATAAAAACTATAAAACTGTACCTCGCTTAAAATCTTTTTGTCCTCACAACTTCAGCTATATCCTTTTATCTGTTTAAACACCGGCTCCCCGTATAAAACACATTATACCCGCAACTTTCAACATACAAGAGGATAAGAGACACGATAGACAATGTATTTTTGACTGGTTCCACAAACTCTGGATAGCCGCTATCTACCTAATTAACATTTATATGAACTATCTACCAGTCAAAATATCTGGTACCTGTATGAGGTGAATAATAGGTTAAGGACCTGTTTCACCACTAAAGTAAAATAATCTACAAAACAATAAATCTAGATGAGGTCGGCATCTCCTAAATGACGACTATTCGGAGAAGAAATGCAGTCAAATATAAAAAATTTCTGCGATACCCGTGCAAACTCATACTGTTTTTGTAGTGGTCTTCTGAGGAAAATACCCCCCAGTCTAACGCCCGAATACTGAAAGGCTATTCCATTTTAGGTCGCGCTTAAAGCACTCAGAGTTCGGTGTAAAATGACAGAGATGGTGCGATATCGACGATGATGCGCTTGTGAAGGTTCGGCTTCAAAGCCTCGAACACAGGCGTAAGGTTGCAAGCCTTTCGGTTTTCTACCGGATACATTTCGGGGAGTG